GTATAAGAAATGTGAACTCTTTCAGAAATGACAACAAATATAGAAGGGAGGGCCAGTTTCAACAATACACTGTGTTTTGAACTAGAAATTCAGAGGCTCACAAACATGCCCTTTCTCAACATCTTTCATTGTCATTTCTAAGGGTCTGTATGGGGTGTCCTGATCACGCTTTGCGCTAAATTCTGGAAGGCAGCGACCACAATTTACTCTTCATTGTTGCAAGCTGTTTGCTTTAAAACACTGTATGCAATGTATATTACATTTGATGTTAAATCCAATTTTTTTTCTACCACCAATTATGCAAATTCAAATGGTAAGGCACAAAATTCTGCAAAGCAGCAACCCCATATTGGGCGTCACTTGTACAGGCTTGATTTTTTTCACGCAGATTAGTTACGTTTAAATGGTAAATGGAACGACCCGCCTTCACATTATGCAAACCTAAAACGAGCGATTACGCATTGCGGCATGCAGACCCCATTTTCAAAGAGTTCTATAAATAAAAGGGAACTCACGGTCAAGTCCGATGTTCTCTTGCCTCGTAGCTGGAGACAGGTTCCTCAGAAACACAGGTACATCCTCCTGGAATAGACAGGAACACAGATCCTCCTGGAATGTGATCCGGAGCACAGGTCCAACAGGAACACAGGCAGGTCCTCCAGGACAGGTACACAGGATAGCTGATCAGGTCCCACAGCACACACAGGAGCATGGACAGGTCCCACATGGTCAGGTATACAGCATCAGCTTTCCAAACCTAGGGTGTAAAAGAAATACACATTCAGAAAAATCACAGGCCAAATTTACATGCATCAACAATATTCATAGAGCATGCACTTCCTAACCATAGGATCTCCAGGAATGTGAACAGGAACACAGCATAGCTGACAGGTCCCACAGCACACACAGGAGCATGGACAGGTCCCACATGGTCAGGTATACAGTATCAGGACAGGAACATCAGGACAGCTGACCCTCAGGACACACCTGACAAAAAAAAGTACAATTTGTTCAGTGCAAGAATTAAGGCAACAAGTGACAAAGTAAAGATGATTGTATTTTGTTAGCCTCTTCCTAGAAATGTTGACTAGTGCTCAATACCTAAGGTCAAGTTTAAAGCCTAACAGAGTAAAAGTTACAGAGTGGTATATGTGGTAAGAAGTTACATTGGATTCTTAAAAAGAATTATGATTTCACCTGTGGATACTGTTATCTTGCTCTTGAAAGTGTAATCCAATCCAGTGTTATCAGGTTAAGAAAGGAGTCATCACTACTGCATAGTTGCACAGTTGTCTCAAATAACCATGTAAATAGTGGATAAAATACAGAATTCAGATTTTCTCATCTCATATTCCTCTTGGGTCTTCAAATCACCAGGTCTGGTCATCCAATCTGTCTTGTCAGGTTCAGACAGAAGTTCCCACCACTGCAACAGTCAGAAACCCGGGGGATCCTAACTAAATAGACACCAGAAGTTACACACAAAAATGCAAACAAGATATATGTATCTGATTATCTAAGGTTTCATTTATTTCAGAAAATGGTACATGCTAGACATTTTACTAGTATTTCTTAATTAAGACTTCTTAGTTGGATACTTGTCTGACAAAAGTTACATTATTCAAGTCTGACAAGTTTACTCTAACCAAATTTTATTCTATTATTTATTCTTTCTCATTGGAACTATCAAACAACCAGCAAAATTAGAGCATGATATTGATAACGTTATTACCATGGCTTGAAACTCTGAGGAACCAGTTTCCGAACCACCCTTAACGTTAAGTCACTTGTCAGTCAAGGATTTAACCATGCACACGTGCACAAGTGTTTTTGAGCCACGTGGAGAAGAAAGGTTTTTAGAGCATTTTTTTTTCAGAAATATGAACTCACAACGTTGTGGACTTGACAACTAATAAGACGTACATTTTCGTTTGTACACCTAAAACTGTACAATCACACCGCACATGGAAAATGTTAACTTATATGCGCGGAAAAGTCTGCTCTTAAACAAGGAACTGTCGCTCGTTCGGTGTTTACAGAACTATATTATTTCTTTCAGAATATGATTTGTTAGATATGAAATAACCTTACTAGTTGCTAGGGCATGCATAATGTTAGCCAAAAGTTTGTTGCATGCTTACCTGCGAAATTCCAAGTCGGCTTCAAACCACGCTCCCCAAATTATATCTCGCCATGTTCTTGTCTTCTCGAAAATTCCCCAGGTCTGAAACGTCAGCTTTTTCTTCCCCAACACATCACGAAAATTCCATAAATCTACCGCGAAAAGTTCCCAACATTCTACTGTAGACTTAAGAAAGACATTCCTCCGATAAAAACTCGAAAAAGTCACCCGGAAAGTTGGAAAAGACATCCCAGAGAACTCTTGCTTTTCCAACTGACCGCCATTTTGAAATTTTTGAAGGGACCATGCCAAATGAGGGTTTTTTTTACCCAGGTGTGCAAAACGGCTGTCTCTATTAATTAATCAATTAATATCATGGGTACTGCTAGTCCAAGTTCAAAGACAACTCATAAAGAAAAAAAAAGACTTACAAATACACCATTCCTGTATACGTAGCTTTGAGCACACTGAACTGAGAAAGTTCATCTAACTTACAACGTTAAATGTCTGACACGCAATCAAAATGATATGGGCGCTAGACAGAGTTTACGTGCGCGCGTTCGGGCCTGCGGTAGCCGGGGCACCTCGTGTACTCCAAGCAGAGGGTTGGCTTGTTTTTGGCGTTTTTAGGCTTGAGTCGGGGAGGGCGTGAGCCGGGGACGGGCGTGAGCCGGGGACGGGCGTGAGCCGGGGACGGGCGTGAGCCGGGGACGGGCGTGAGCCGGGGACGGGCGTGAGCCGGGGACGGGCGTGAGCCGGGGACGGGCGTGAGCCGGGGACGGCGTGAGCCGGGGACGGCGTTACCGCAGGTCCCAACGCGCCTGCCGTCTTAATTATTACACGCAGTGTGTACATTCTTTTTCCTTCATCTTTTTTCATTTTGATGAAGTAGATACACGTCTATAGCGGTCACCTGTTCAACGCGGTCAGCGGTCACCCCATTCCGGTCCCGCCGGCATGTCAACACTACCCTTTTTGTTGGAATAAAGTTCAACATCGTACATGTACTATGATGACTACCAACACAGACGAACTTCTATGATAATTATTGCATAATTGATTTTGTTTGTAAGTCCACCTATCACACCTCGTCATCACATATTAATAAACATGTAGAGTGTTGTAGACCTCACCCACTAGTGCCGAAATCAGAGACCTGAGTGATATGCTCTTAGAAGCAACTCTTATATTTTCTTATTGTTGTGCCTGACGCCGACTCCAAAGACTACCTAAATCCTGATCCACCTCCTTTGAAGTTGAAGCGTGACTACAACGTTCAAGCATTTTCCTTGCCTAAGTCGCCTGTAGAGGGGTAAGGAAATATAATTTTTTCCATCTCATTTCGGTATGTCCTACTCTAAATGACTTGATACTTAACTGTAACTACATGAGCAAACCAGATCCTGTTAAATACTTTGATGAAGGTTAGGCATCCAGGTACTCAATAAACATACCGTACACACAATGTATGGATCCTTTCAGAAGTGTTCTGGTCCTGTCGTCGAATGATTGCGTACGTGTTGGCGTCTGTTTCATACGCAGCCATACGCACAAGACACAAGAATGTTTTTCATCACTTCGACGTATATATAAGTGCTATAAGTTCGTCCAGCGTCCGTTGTATTGTTGGTTAGAAACGGAGTTTTCATCTATAAGGCCATGTTGATTTGATTATATGGATGACATCCGCGCGCGCATGAATTTTCGTCCGTTTACTAAAAAAAAGTTTTCGACCATATTGTAAATCGTACAAAATGAGCGAATACATGTTGTATGTTGCAAAAAAAAGTATTGGAAAACGATACTAATGTAACAGAATGTCGAAATCAATTCAAGAAAAGAAGAAAACGTGAAGAAACGAAAATGAGGAGTCTATCATTATTCGCCATACCATACTCTGTGTGTTTAGTCATTTGTTCACCCTTTATGACCACGTAGATTTAGTAATGAATGAAACTTTTTTGCCAAACTTTTTTTCAGTAGTGGCAAGGAATTGGACATATTTACTTTTTTTTATTCGCACGCTCGCGTCAGTTTTGGGGTTCCCAGATGATGTCATCCATATAATCAAATCAACATGGCCTAATAGGTGATATGCTAGGAACACGTACGCCTGGTATTCGTCCGAAGTGCGACAGGCACGTGCTACGTGCGTACTGCAGTCGCTGACTATTCCCAGCAAACAAATAATGTTGCCCATACCGAAAAATATGTATACATCACAAGCAATGGATGTGCTGAATTCGTTTTCTATACTATAGATGTGAGTCGCAAAGAAATGGAAAACATTTCCGCCTCTTGTCCGTACTGCTGAGTATGAATGAACCGTCAATTCACTCAATACGCATCTAATGCGCAATGAGGATACACAGAAGCGTTATACCATGGAATCTTGTTCCAGTTCTACATGATAATGACTACAAATCCGGATACTTTGGACAATATTATTGTTTTCGTCAAAATTTTTTCCCAGAAATCGTTCATTCACATAACAAGAATAAAATGGATTCTCGAATGGTCTGTGCCTCTGCGATGATCCGAGCCCTTCAAATGTACGTGAGCAACCACGTGAATGTACATCAATCATTGAAATTGTCTAGGGAAATTGTCTAGTGAAATTATGAAATTAAAAAAAATAATAAGTGAATTCATTGCATTTGGTTGAAATTGCTTCTCTTTAATAAACACAGTAGACGGTTGAATATAATTAATTTGATTTCATACTGGAATCATTACTTTTTCGGTGTTTTGTCATAGCTACAGAAACAGGCAACTACTCTTTCCAGTTCTATCTCCAGGTGAAGTTCATTTAGTGTTTCGTATACCTGAAATTCCAGTCTTGGGTAGCTCAAGTCAGCCAAGAATGCCGTTAACGAGCATGGAGAAGAACAAGAAGGCGTCAAAATATGCTTACGATGGGAAGAAAGATTGGTCAAACACATGGCCCACTCGTGGCGAAAAACGGCGCCAGATAGAGCCCGCTCGACTGAGTCAAGGAAGGGGTTCTTCCGATGATGATGCCGGTAACATGTTCGAGGAGCATAACTGTCAACATCCTCTAGAACCAACTCTGGAACGCAGACGGAAGGTTCGGTGCCCAAATCCGATGTATAAACAAAACTCCCTGCCCCCAAACGCTCGAAATCCTAGTCCGGTGTATCCGCAAACTGACCGGATGTGTGGGCAAAATACTGACCAAGAACCCGAACTTGATACAGGTGAAGACAGTGCTTGTGCACGACCGCGCGCAGTTACGCACCGACAAGGCGTTGAAGCCGCTATTCGGTCAGCTGACAATGATGACATTAGTACCTGCTCACAACAATTCGCTGTTACACACCAAAATGGCGATGAAACGGCTTCTTGGTCAGCCGGCAGTGACGATGTCTTTATCCAGCCGTATGCTGTGAGATACAAGGAAGATGACAATGACACGAACAGGCCCACGGACAACGGTCGACAAACCGTCGGCATTTCCCCAAACGATGACGACATCAGGCCATACGCTGTTGCATACATGTGCCAGGATGACACGGTGGTTGTAAGAGGTTTGAATTCGGGACAGACGCAACATAAAACCAAAACGGCTTCAAACAGAAGCAGCAATGATATGTCGGGACACAACTCATCCATAAATGGGACGAATGACATGTGGTCAAACGCCACAGAAAGTGACAGTCACACACACGACACCCAGCCTTCCTCCAGTGCACGTCATCTTCACCCGATGTACTTGCGACTCCCCCAGCACCCAAATCCGATAAAGATGATGCCTAATCTACAGTACGCACCAGGCAGCGCTCCAAACGATCACCCCAAAACAACTAGCGGTAAATTCGTTTCTCGTATGTTTTCCTGCCGATGCTCCGTGTATGTGTGTATGTGTTTGTCTGTGTGTGTGTGTGTGTGTGTGTGTGTGTGTGTGTGTGTGTGTGTGTGTGTCTGTGTGTGTGTGTGTGTTGTGTGTGTGTGTGTGTGTGTGTGTGTGTGTGTGTGTGTGTGTGTGTGTGTGTGTGTGTGTGTGTGTGTGTGTGTGTGTGTGTGTGTGTGTGTGTCTGTGTGTGTCTGTGTGTCTCTGCGTGTGTCTGTGTGTGTGTGTGTCTGTGTGTATGTGTGTGTGTGTCTGTGTGTGTGTCTGTGTGTGCCTGTGTGTCTCTGCGTGTCTCTCTCTGTGTCTGTGTGTATGTGTGTGTGTGTCTGTCTGTGTGTCTGTCTGTGTCTATGTGTGTGTCTGTGTGTGTACCTGTGTATCTGTGTATGTGTGTGTCTGTCTGTCTGTATGTGTGTGTGTCTGTGTGTGTGTCTGTTGTTTGTCTATGTGTTCTTGTCCAGCTGTGTGTCCCAGGTGGGGGATAAGACTGCCTCGAGTAGTTGTTCACTTTTTCACACATCCATTCATTGTTTCATTTTCACATTTTCATTTGAAATTTCTGTTATATGTACCTGGACAGGGTGTGAGTATCGCCGAGTGTGCGTTGCCATAGTGACAGTTATCATCCTGGTGTCCTTAACGTTCGGAGGGACGTTTGCCGTCTTATACTTCAACACCACAGGACGAGATGTTGCAAAGGTAAGCCCGAGTTGTTTTTCTTCTTTTTGCTTCTTTTCCCTTCAGTACTACTGCAAGTTATTGTCTAGCCTGAATCTAATCTTCAAGCAGATGTTAACTGCCAGTTTCTGTTACGCCTCTGAGTGTTAATACAGAAGCGGGCAGCTAGGGAAGAGATTCGGTTTAGACTCCCAACATCTTCTTGGAAATTAGTTTGCAAGGTGTTTGTTTGAAGCTTCGTGGAACGAACACTAGTACTGTAGCTAGGCATGAAGTTCCAAACAATGGCCTCTTCATGTGCACGTGGAGAATTGTTTTGTCTACCTCACGGACTGTTCACTATAGGTATATAATTATAATTATAGAGAGTACATCAAAGTAGAAATGGCCATGCCCTCAAGTACCAGAGTTATCAGAATTAGGCATGCTTGGTTAGAGGTGGAAGAATCGCTCGGTGTAATGTAGCTAGCTGCCGCCGCGCCGCGTGCCTGCGAAGCTGGTGTGTTACGCCGAAGGGCGATTATACCGGCTATTCAGATACAGAAACAGAAAGTATAGATCAACCGCTACTATGGCGGTGTGCTATGTTGTCCACAGCCGACACCAGCCGTGGACACCAACTGCACCCGTGGTGACACTGTCTGCCACGGGTATGGGCAGGAGACAATGGCCGATCTCTCCACCATGTCCACGGTAACCTACTTCATATTCTCATCTCTACCCTTATTTCAAACAGCGAGATTGCTACTGAAGCTTTCTGTTCTATCCACAACCATATATATAAATATGAAAAAAATAGATACACAGAGACCGTGAATAGTTTCATCAGGTTGGTAAGACACTAAGAAGAGACTCTTTTTACACAACCAAGTCTTATATTCAGCCGACGTTTCGGTGACCGTCTGACACCTGTGCTGCAATGCAAAGTGAACCAGTCAGAATTGCCCTGAGGAAGGTGACAGACGGTCACCGACGCGTCGGCTGAATAAAAGTCTTGGTTGTGTAAATAGAGTCTCTTCACTTAAACTCTTTTATGGTACCCACAGCCGACACCAGCCGTGGACACCAACTGCACCCGTGGTGACACTGTCTGCCACGGGTATGGGCAGGAGACAATGGCCGATCTCACCACCATGTCCACGGTAACCTACTTCATATTCTTATCTCTACCCTTATTTCAAACAGCGAGATTGCTGCTGAAGCTTTCTGTTCCATCCACAATAAATAAATATGAATAAAAAAATTGACACACAGAGAGATTACTTAATGTCGCTAACCAAAAAGTGTAACATGATTTTAATTACAGTACTACGAAGCGAAACATGATGTTTCACTAAGTACATGTAAGTGGTGCATATGTGTTTCCGTTATTTCCAGGTGCGAGGCACGTTGGGGACACTGACAATAAGTTAGATCAAACTAGAAAGGCCAACATTTGCTTCGGAGCAAATGTAATATTTCACTCCATCTCCCTCCCCATACAAAAATAGAAGATTCTGAATAAATCATACTGCAATTATACAAGGACAAGCTTTTTGAATCTCGACAGATATTTACAAAAATGGCACTTGGCCATTATCTCCCTTATTTTTTACAAAGATACAACGACAAGCACGTTAAATCTCGACAGCTTTACTTTACACTTATCTCAATCTCAAAGTTATATATTGC